TCCCAGAAGGAAGCCTCTTCTAAAGATGATGCACAAGAAATCCTGCATATGGTTTGCATACGGTTTGCAATGTGTAGCCTGCATAATTAACTTGTAAACCACCCAGAGAGTGCTATGGGGCAGTATATAAGCAGCACACTTTGCTTTTGCTGCAGACAAGCAGACTAAGGACATGGATTTCTGGAATCATGTCCTGTGGTCTGATGAGACCAATATAAACTTATTCGGTTCAGATGGTCTCAAGCCTGCATGGCGGCAACCAGGTGAGGAGTACAAAGACAAGTGTGTTGTTCCTACAGTCAAGCATGGTGGTCTGGGGCTGCATAAGTGCTGCCGGCACTGAGGAGCTACAGTTCATTAAGGGAAGCATGTACTGTGACATATTGAAGCAGAGCATAATCCATTCCCTTCAGAGACTGGGCTGCAGGACAATATTCCAACATAATGACCCCAAACACACCTCCAAAGTGACCACTGCTGTGCTAAAGAAGTTGAGGATAAAGGTGATGGGCTGGCCAAGCATGTCTCCAGACCTAATCCCTCCTGAGCATCTGTGGGGCATCCTGAAATGGAAAGTGGAGGTGCGCACGGTCTCTAACATCCACCAGCTCTGTGATGTCATCATGGAGGCGTGGAAGAGGACTCCAGTGGGAACCTGTGAAGCTCTAGTGAACTCTATGCCCAAGAGGGTTAAGGCAGTGCTGGAAAATAATGGTGGCCACACAAAATATTGACACTTTGTGCCAAATTTGGACATGATCACTTAGGGGTGTACTCACTTTTGTTGCCAGTGGTTTAGATATTAATGGCTGTGTGTTGCGTTATTTTGAGGGGACAGCACATTTATACTATTATACAAGCTGTAAACTCACTGCTTTACATTGTAGCCAAGTCCGTAGATTTGTGATCTTGGACTGTAAAAGATATACGTACTAAAATATTTATGGAACGTGAAGGGGTGTACTCACTTCTGTGATATACTGTACATACATACATACATACATACATACATACATACATACATACATACATACATACATACATACATACATACATACATACATACATACATACATACGGGTGTTCAACAAAATAACATTGAAAAATAAATTATTTCGGAAATTTACTTTCATAGATGCTTATTAAAGAAATGTGAATATAAAAATGAATGTTGCAGGAAAAAATTACCCACAATTTAAAATTTTCATGGAAACTAAAAAGGATCCTTTGTGTTTGGAGTGAATTAAATTAAGGACTGGAAAAATATGAAGCTGGGATAAGCTGAAACTGGTGGAAATAAGTCTCCATTTTAAACAAATTTCTGCTTGGAAAAAAAAAGAGAGAAACTGAGAGAAAAATCAATAGTTCATCCCTACACCTAACAGACAACAGATCTAGGTGAAATCCTAGCTTAGCTTCCCATTTTCTTTTCTGTAACATCCGTCTCCAGCTGTTTTGTCATTCTCTTCAGACCTCAAACTTGGCTGAGCCTATGAGGTATAACAGCACTGCAGTGCCATCTACTGCAGTGTTTTCATCATTACAATTATTCCAGTTACATACCGTAGATTTGTGATCTTGGACTGCAGCTATTAGATTTCCCCATGCAGCATAGAATTCTGGGAACTATGGTCAAATCCACATACAGTACCTCTGTACAAATCCTCCTCTGACTCTACTTCAAGCTTTGTCCCCATGTCCAAGTTGCAGTGCAGGCCTGGACAGGAAGGTGTTTGTGCCGTTTTATATTTTCCCAAGTTGTAAGTGCAAGAGTCGCTTCCAGTTTTGAAAAACACATGCAAGAGCCTGAAACAGGTTGTGCGGAGTGAAAATGCAGCAAAATAATTGCCCTCTGTGCCCCTCAAAGAGTACCAGGGGTCTTTTAAGCCAAAAGGAAACAATCTCTGAAGAAAGATGCTGGGGAATGCCCTTCACGCCTCATGTGCCTCAAAGGCCATACTTTGTCCACTGTGTCTTTGAGAAGTGACAATGTCTGTACATTTCAAGGATGTTTGAATTATTTCTTAAATCACAGATGTAAAGGAGCTGAGAAAGACAGTGTCTTGAGCATACGGGGGTGTAGAAAAGGTACAAAATAAATACAACTGGACCAATACTACCCATTATGCCTATGTGGGGTCTCAGAGGTCTCTGTTCCCATGGAGCTTACAATCAGAAATTAATGAGTGAACAGTACCAGCAAGAGGAAAGACAAGTCTAGGCAGAGGCAGTGATGATGGTTGTGGATGCAGCCAAAGAGATTCAGTCAAAGGCTTCACAGAAGAAAGGGGTTTTGAAACTCACTGATGGGTGCCACTGGTGAAACTATTTATTTATTTATTTTATTTATTTATTCGATTTTTACCCGCCCCTCTAGACAACGTCTACTATGCCTTAAATATCTCACAGAACATTGAAATCCCTATTAGAGTCACTATACGTGAAATGCAACTTGGTGGCAAATAACAACTGGAACATTTTACCGATCAAAGTCACACTTGCACAGTACAGTATTTTTGATTTCTGGTTCCTCCAGTCAAGTACTATCCAGATGTGCCCCCCCCCCCCGGATTGTTAGATTTTTTTGGACTACAATTCCCACAGCCCTTTCTCATTGGCAGTACAGCCTGGGGATTCTGGGATCTGAAGTCCAAAACATCTGGTGTGCCAAAGATTTGCCATTTTCTCTAACTGCCAATTTGGCCCGGGCATGGGGTTGTAGTGAGCACATCTGCAGGGCACCAGGGTGCGGGAGGCTGGTTTAGCTAGTATTTCTGTTGTCCAGATCCTCGAAAAGAGTATTAGATGACATGTACTAATAAGAATTCAGATTTTATGGGGTTTGCTCCTCTTTTTCCCCTGACTACCCACTGAAGTCTACCCCACTTCTTCTGAATTTTTTCTCAGCTATTTTTTTAAAAGTAAAAAACCATAGATATACAAACCTTTTAGAGCAACAAGAACACAATCACACAAACCCTCCTTCAAGTCTTTGTAGCTACTTCTGGTATAAAATGGAACTGGATTTCTATTCCAGCGTCCAGGCAATGGGTGCTCAACATACCTAGAGATGTCAATCTGACACGATCATGGGAAGCTAGCCTGGGAAAATAGTTCGTACTGAGTGCTTGTACGAAAGAGACAACAGTATCTCTATGGGCACTGGGAAAGACAATAGAACCAGGAAAAGTGAGAAGTAGTCGGGAAAGAGGAAAATCTATCATGAGATGGATTGACTCAGTGTAGAAACCACAGACCTGGACCTACTTCCTTTGTCCGTTATCTCTCCATTGCAGTTTTGGGGCAAAATTAAAGGGGGAAAAAGATCCAGACTTCACGACTCATTATGCCATGCAGCAAACATTCCTATTTCAGAAACGATAAAAAGGAGCGCACTATTGCACTGATAAGAGATAATTCCGGTCCAATAACTAACCTGATTTTCCTATTTAAGGTTAAAAAATAAGGATAGTCAGCACATAAATAAGACAAGTGCAGAAACGCTGCTCTTCTCCCCTGTAAATTCACGAGGGGATCTGCGTCTGCACAGAAACTGAATCTTCGTACCACTCTATTCTTTTCTCTATGTTGACGATGCAAACGACTGGAGGGACTTCATTTCCCATCATGCCAAGCCCCGCCTTCCTATTTAAGGTTAAAAAATAAGGATAGTCAGCACATAAATAAGACAAGTGCAGAAACGCTGCTCTTCTCCCCTGTAAATTCACGAGGGGATCTGCGTCTGCACAGAAACTGAATCTTCGTACCACTCTATTCTTTTCTCTATGTTGACGATGCAAACGACTGGAGGGACTTCATTTCCCATCATGCCAAGCCCCGCCTTTTCCTCCGCTTCTCC